AATGCGACATCTTGATTCTTTTCTTTTTCAGCCCTTCTGTTGTATATTTGCTGCTGTGTTTGGGGATCATTGTCTTGTTGGATGACCCAATTTGGGCCCAGCTTCAGCTGTTGGACAAATGTCTTCACATTTGACTCTAGAATGCTTTGGTGTACAGAGGAGTTCGTGGTCAACTCAATGCAAGGTGTTCATGTCCTATGGCTTCAAAACAAGCCCAAGTCATCACCCCTCCACCACCATGCTTGACAGTTTGTATGAGGTGTTGGTGCTGATATGCTGCAGGTGGTTTTTGTGCATTATAGCCAAACATCTCCACTTAAGTCTCATCTGTCCAAAGGAGATTTTCCAGAAGACTTCTTTTGTGTTCAGATACAGCTTTTCAAAAATAACCCATGCTGCCATGTTCTTTTCAGAGAGAGGAGGATTTTGTCCCAACAAGTTATATTAGTTTTCCACTTGTGAATATTCACAAGGTTAATCTGCAAATATGCAAAATGCCCAAACCTCTGTTTTCACAGAGGTCTGCACAGTTGCTGATGGTCAGTTAAGTCCATTCTTGCTGGTACTGGAAGCAGTAAGTGTGTTTCTGCATTCAGATTAGGTTTTTTGCTAAAGTAACGAGACAGTGTAAAGATTTTTTTATTATATCCTGACTCCTAGACAGAGCTGAAAGATAGTTTACTTTCTTTGTCAAATGACTGTAGTTGAGTTTATATTATTTTCTTTTATTAAATAGAGAATATTTGGATGTCTAATATCAACCTGCTAAAAGTGTCATCACTAAAACTTGGCTGTAGTGCGATGGAGACAAAGGAATCAACCATAAAGCTCAATAAAAAACTATATTAAGTATGGTTTCAGTATTGAAATTATTATTTCAGTATCATTTTAGATGTTTCTAATTAAGTCACAAATTACAAAAGATCAAAAATACAACAATGGATCAGCAAATACAAGTTTTATACTTCAGCGTGGTCACTAAGAGAGGAGATGATTGAAGCATAAAGGAAATACTTGTAATAGAAGATATGTTATCCAATAAAACTCCACAGTTAAAGCTTCTGCAACAAAATACAGATAAACTAGTGTTTGTTTTTGATGTCAAGTACAGAAATACAATTTTAAAAATTAAGGAACGACCTCCAAATGTTTATTTCACACTCACACAAAAAGAAAAAAACCCCTCAATTTCAGGAAGTACAGCTGATGGCAGGACTCACCTGACAGCTCGTATAAGCGTCTTCACTGCTGGGATCACCTCCTCCATTGTTACGTCACAGTATGGTTTGTCTTCCACGCTGTCCTCCCCGAGTCCCTCTATTAGTGCAGAGCAGCGGTGAGTTACTCAGACACATTTAAACGCAAAGAGAATAGAAAGTGTGTGTGGGCTGCTCACCATCAACAGGAGGACGCGGTTTGAGGCGCAGGGAGGTGCGGAAGCGTGTGCGGTCATTGAAGCTCCAGCTCTTTTGGACCTTTCCCGGGCTCGTGGCCTCGGGGACGTTCTCCTGGCTGGGAGAGCGGCGGACACCGGAGCTAGGGGGCAACGGCGAAGCCTTGTTCCGAATGGTTTGGGATGAACGGGAATTGTTCATCCTGATCCGATCCCGAAAGCCTATTTTACCGCTGACAGCGAAGTAGAAAGAGTTAAACATATGCAGGCACTGGTATTCATTTTGGATAAATGCAGTTTTGTCACTGATCGCAATGTCCATGCCTTTGACTTTACAGGTCACTACACCGTGTTATCCTGCGAGCTTAGGGAAGCGGGAGAAGGGCAGCCTGAGCTTGTTGGAAAGGAGTCTGTTAGTAATTGTGGAAGAACACCAAAAATGTGGCCTGTCTTTCTAAACAGTCATCACATATACAAACAGGCGAAGCAAGGAGACGGACAGACATTTATATTTTGTCTCAACGAAAGACAGACTAGCTGACTTATCACGGAGGCAGTGTCCAAATGCAGCACTCTGAATTGCTAGAAACTCATTCTGCCCTGAGGATTTGTTCATTTAATGTGCCTATCACAGCACCTGAATCAGCAAAATCAAAACCCGAAACCTGATTCAAGACTTGCACTAGTGCTGGGAC